CACAGTGCACCCGTTACAATAGAATCCTTTCTGACCCAACCTCCCTATCGTGCAGTATTCCGCAAGACACCGTTCTCGGCCCTTTTATTTTCGCCGTTATGATGAATGACGATGTCCAAGCAAGTTGATGTGTGCACTTTTAAGTATTTAAATGACAAATCAATCTTGCTGGCCCATCTAAAAAAATGTCCCACCCGCCCTTCAACACACACTCTCGCAGCAGGAGTGGATTCAGGCCAACCCTATGAAGCTCAACGCAACTAAGTGTCACATGCTGGAATTTCACTTCTCTAAATCCCTTCCCGCTCAACACGACCTTCACATTGCAGGTTACAACTTAAAGAGAGAGGACAGCGTTCGCTTTCTTGGGCTTATAATTCAGGACGACCACCTATGGAATCAAAGCACTAAATTAATCATTTCCAAAGCCTCTCGACTATAGTGCTTTGATTCCATAGATGGTCGTCCTGAAATCATTTCCAAAGCCTCTTGACGAATGTACAGTACATGCTACAGATATTGACATATTTTGGCGCACCTCAAGGGGACCTCTGATCTTTCTGGTCTTCTTGGGGGAAATGGGTGGGGGAGATCAGAACCCCTTCCCCGTCCCATAAAAAAAAAAAGAATAACAAACCCGCTGCAGTCGCATTCTGTACGCTTTCAAGAGTGCACTCGAGAGAGAGGGGTGTTTAGCTCCCCTCTTGATCGACCAAGGAAGGAGCACCGCTCATGAGCTTGCGCCAGTAATGCTGCACGTAAAGAAATGTGAGGCAGGTTGAGGAATTGAGGAAAGTGTCATCCTGGCTATTGATACTGACCTGGACCAGGTCAGTTCAGACTCGTGCATCCTACCACGCTTCCTTCATGGCTGTGGTGTGGATGTCTCCTCGTACCCTGGTTGCCACCAGTCCCGTATTTTACGGGAAACTCGCTTACAAAATCTACAGGGTGAAAATAAATTTTGCAGCCTTACCTTGGACTCTCTTAGTTCTGTTTATTATTAGCTTCAGAATTCGTCCCGCTAGGAAGTGTAGGTCTTGAAGTCCCCAATAATTTTGCTCTGCAAATAAACTGCAAGTCCGCGATTTCCCCCTCCCCCCGACTTACTTCTTGAATACCTAGTCTAGTTTCTCAAGGGCCGCGCCTGCATTTAAAACAAGCACTGTAAAGTAACTCGAGTAGTTAAATTGGACTTTAATTGAAATAGGGAGAAAAAGTTAGACTCAGTGACATAGTGACCTGATACAAATGCAGCAAAGAAGCATAAAATCAAAAGTGACATGTGCCACAGTGACATATGAAGTGACATGTCCACAAATACAAAGCTACTAACATAATTAATTCTAGTACATTCAAAAAGCATGTGTAACAGTGCCTAAAATATTTGAGGTTTAATGAAAATTGCTATTATGTGAATTACCGTAATATACAGACTGATTTATCAATGCAATTCTCTTTTATTTTCCAGGAACTATTTTGTTTTCCCAATTAAATTTAGATATTGGCTAGCACTAGCAGAAACCAGGCATTGTACCTATTATACTTAGTACTCACTAGGCAGTAATTGCATGCTAAGTTTCGAGACCCGAGTGGGATCTTTGCTTCTGCTGGTGGGCGGCTTCATGGTGATTTTGCCTCCTTCCCAAGGAGAGCAGTTTTTGGATTTTCCTCATTAAAGGAATTAGCACAAATTTTCTCATTTATCATCTTGATATGTTAGATGGAGAGTTAACTTCACAGATTCCCCAAAATTCCCTCTTTTCGATTCCCTTTCGAAGTTTCCTTCCTTGATTTTGTTAAAAATGGTTAAACTATTTCCATGGTTAAAATATTGGCTGTACCTCGTAATTTGCAAGAAATTCCTATTATATTGTCCATTGGATAAGCTGCGTCAACGATGGAGGAATGTAAAACCCCTTCGTGCCACAGCAGTACCTCTCGCTAGCTCTAGAAAATACAAGAAACAATCATTTAGATACCTTATGATAGATGTCACTGTGTTCTGCGTGCTCCAGACCTAGCGGATGAGCAACGAAAGAAGAGCGTCTCTTTGGCTGGAAGTGGAAGTCCCACATTCGTTGATTCTTCTATTTTCGGAAGAGTTCATGATAATTTGCTATCTTTTGTCAAATTGTGTTATCTTGGAAAACCTAGATTCCAAGATTTTCAAGATTTTATGGTTCGTGTTTTCGACGCTGCGTGATTCGACGTTCCGCGTTTTCGACGCTACGTGATTCGATGCTACACATTTTCGACACTGCGTGATTTAACGCTATGCGTTCCCGACGCTACATGATTAAGAGGAGGGGCATTTTTATTTCTGAATCTCTATCCTACGAGATTCGATGTTAAGAGATTCGACACTATGTGATTCACAGTGATTCGATATCGTTGCCTGGAATATCAGCGATTATTTTCGACAGAACGTGATTTGATGCTATGTGTTATCGACGCTACACGATTCGACGCTACGTATTGTAGATGATACGAGATTCGTTCGTACGCATAGGACTCGATTAATACAGATATCTTTATTTATTTATTTATTTAGTTTATTTAGATATTTAGCTTTAAGAGGATTAGGCCTACCCTAAAATTAAGGAACGCTCGACCTCGACACGTGATATCCCGAGTGTCCTTGACACTCAAATATATTTTTGTCCCTGGTGGATACAAGTCTGGTGTCTCTAGTTACTTTACAAAATTGAATGAATATAGCTCGACTGTTTGGTGTTACTTTATTTTGGCGGTCACTGTTGAGAGATTAGCAGTACCATTAGTAGGTAACGGTGGTTTGAGACGACTGGAATTGGCACGAGCGGCCGAGCACCTGTCAGTTCTGGATTCCTGACATTTGTTAAGATTACGAAAGCAAGCCAACCTTCGAAGTAGGCGAGACATTGGAGAGTGAGAAGAAAACTAATTTTAAATAAGTCAGATTTCGCGGAAAGGGATTGGGAGATGTTGAACACCGTTTTCATGCGGACATTACGAAAAGAAGGAATAAAAAAAAATGGGTTTGTCACCTGCCAAAACGCACTTCTTTCCTCCTCTCGCGGGTGTTTTTCCCCATTATTCATCAATCAAGCGACACATCAAGTGTCCGCAAATTTTTACTATGGAAAGAGCATCGGAGAGAACCATTCTCTTACACGACGCTGACACCAATACTAACAGTCAGTCTCAGCCCTCGAGAAAAAGTGACCCAGCACCGTTTCTAAAAATGTTACCATTTGCTTATCCAGTTCGTTAAGTAACCAGTTCCAGAGTGTCTCAGACATAGTTCTCTGTTCTTCGTTTCAAATAAGTGAACGGGGGAAAAATTGGACTGGAGGCTGGGGTGGGGGAGAAATGGGACGGGACAGAACGAGTGGAATGGCGATGTTCCTACTACCTAAATTCGATGAAATTCTTTCGAGTGGGTAAAAGTTCTAAGAAACTGTTCATTGTCACGTAAATGTTAGCTTGAGGTTATCGGCTGCCTAAGTGAGAAATGCCTCAAATCTATGGAATCATCATTGCAATCATCATCCATCTCTATGTGATGCCAATGAGAAATGAAAGATGGGAGGAAGATATGGAAATTTAAATGCAGCTTGCAAGCCAACCAAGTGGAAAGAAAGGCCCCATAGGTGATGTAGTAGGTCTAGGTTCAAGACCTGCTTCCAGTCCATCACAACTAGGACTGCAACAGTCAACGCTGGATGTTCAGCAGACAGAATAAGTGACTTTCCTCTGATCCCAGGTGAAAAAAACACAAACAAGTTTTTCCTTAATAAGATAGGGGAAGACATTACCTCCCTGCAAGGTGATGGAGAACAAATGATAAGCTTCCTAAGCTTATTTCTGAAGCACAACCAAGGAATGCTCAATAATTCCTCTTGAAGGATTTCATGCTGGTCAGTATCATACATGAGTATTTCAAGAGACGTTCCATGATGAGGATATCAGGAAAATGAAGAAAAGTTACTCTTCATCGGGGAGAATTGAAGTAAATGAAGCTATGCTGATGAATCTTTAATACGCTTTTACGGTGAAATATCTGAAAATATCGTATCGGGGTCGGCAAAATCGGTCACATCCAGTATCGATCGATCTCTAGTTATAACGACGAAGAGCGCTAGGTCCCGGCGTAGAGCCCAAAAGGTACGTGACATTTTACCTTGGTTATAACGAGTTCGGTTATAGCGCGAACCTCGGTGATAACGAAGTCCATTCAAGGTCCCACTGACGAAATAGACAACGTTGACGGCTCTAATTCGTCATTCTTAACTAGAAATTCCATAATCGAAAAAGTGAGCGAAAGATAAAGTTATGGCGAAAACAGCATTCCTTGAGGGTCATATAGGTGTGACTGGAGGAGGAGATGGAAAGGACAATCTCCAGTAACTAAAAATATCATTTTCCATTCAGTCACCATTTGCATTTCTCGTTGACAACATGGTCAGTGAAAAGCAAAAGTGGCAAGCTTTCGCAATTAGCAAGAAAAAATGCATAATTCGTTTAATAGAAAGTGGGCGAAGTGAAGCTCTCTCGTGAACAGACTTCCATGTTCAACTATTTCCACAATTGGAAAAATCGAGACAGCTTCATCCGTACTTAGAAGAACAAGCCACAAAACAAGAAACTTATCTGCTCTAGATGACGTCAACAAATCCTAGCTAAAGTTAGTGTGGGCCAATACTTAAAGTGAAGTCAGTGCAGCACAACCGATGTGCACTAAAAATGTATATAGCAACTATTTTGAAAACAAGGAAACGGAATGTCAATAGAGGCAACCTCGGTTATAACGACGATTTTTCCCTAGTCCCTTCGATGACGTTATAACCGAGTTCGACTGTTTTTCTTAGTGCAAGCGCCAGCGTGCTCGGGAAAGGAGAATCCGAGCACGAAGCGCTCCCATCTCTAGATGTGGGACGTCGAAGAACCGCGGCAGTGAAGGTCGAACCAAGGTGGCATATCCCCAGATTATTATGGCGGTTAAACCAAACGCGAAATTATTTTAGACTTCTATCGTAGTCGATTATCCCAACATAACGTGTTTGTGACAGGTCGCAAGTTGTCACTCGGAAACACTGACTGTCAAATTGGGGTGAAGCTTCAGAGCTTTGTGGCCACTCTAGGTCCAAAGGGAAGAAATGCTTACATTTTCAACAGCCTAACACTTCTCTTTTAAAATGAAAACATGTAATTTAACCATTTCAACCTTCTCCAGTGTTTTTCACTTGAGTAAGACATTTTTTCACTTCACTTCGACACTCATGCATGAAGAACGTCTCGTGAACGTGTGGTCGAGTTAAGTGAAATCTTGTCTAACTCAAGTGAAAAACAATGTAATGAAAAAATAAGAGAATATTCTTAATTCGCTATACATACTTAGCGTTTGACATACTTAAGGTTTCGTTTCAATATAGGTAACCGGCTGATCGTATATCGTTTCGTGCCGATATATCGAATTCACCCAATATCGGCCGATACCGACAACCGATAAAATATAGTTGAATCTCTATTGACAATACAGTATACCAACCACATTAGACAATACCTACTCAAGCAAACAGGAAAAATTCAGTCCCATCACAAAACCTGAATAGCGAATATGTTGAATGAGGAGAACAGATGGAAATGAGAAGTAAGAAGAGTAATTTTAGAGTAATGAACAGGAGCTCATGAGAAGGAGCTTTTCTTTGAACGTTAGGAACTTTGAAACCTGCATTGAAATGAGGTTTTGAAGCATACGCAATTCCTCCAGTAACATTATTACTCAAGGTCTCATACTGATGCTATACACAGGCCCCTGAGCAATAGCTCCATTTCTCTTCCAAAAGAGTGAGGAACATTGAAAAGAGATGCATATCATAGTACTCACATCATGAGTTTGGCTTCATCAGCAAATCTCTCACGTTGATCCCTGGTGGCATCAGGATGGAGAATCTTTACAGCAACTCGTGCCTCAGTGGCTCCCAAGCCAGGGATCCATGAAGCCACACCTTCATGTACTTCCCCAAATGAACCTCTTCCCAGTTGGCGGATCAGTTTAATCTGGTTTTCATCCATCTCAATATCCTTGAATTGCTCCCTTAATTCCCTTAAGTCAGCTGGACATGGGGAATGTCCAGGTCAAAACAAAAGTCAGCCACAGAGCCGTACCACCAAAGTCACACTGTGACCAGGCTTACCATATTGAGGATTCCAGGTAACAACAAGTTCCCCTTCTCTCGTTTTCACAATGTGCCGATTTCTGAGGATGACAATGGCTAGGATGATGATAACAACAGACACTGTACCAAGGATTCCCCTAAGTACTCGAGCAGAAACCCCAGCATCCTCCTCGCTCTGCAATAATTTGCAATAATATGGACACATACAAGCAATAAGCAAAATACTGCAATGTTCTCTCAACATCCAATAAGAATTCTCTTAGTGTGTGAACTCACATAGATGTAGAAGTACTCCTCCACTGTGTAATTTCCCACTCCAGCCAAACTGACTGCTTGCAACTGGAGACTGTAATTTCCTGGCTTCAAATGCTTCAGCTCATAATACTCCTTCCCTATTCCATTGCCACTTGGAGGAATGCACTCAATGTCTGGTTTTAACTGTAAGTGACAAAGACATACATACAATCTTAATATCATGTCAAAGAAAACACCACTGCAGGTAATATACATGGGAAAGGAGGATAATATGAAAACAGGAGTAAAAAAGGAAAATCACTGCAAATCATGCAATACAAGGACAATTACAATTTGGATGGGAATGACAGATGAGAGCATTTCTAGAGTCCACTTGTCCCTGAACAAATTTGCAATGATAGTTCTGATGGATTGCTCATGGTCCTTCAACAGTTTACTTGCAGAAAACATTAAACTAAAACTGCAGATTTAATGTACAAATGACAATTGACCATATTTCGTGCAAGAAAAAGTGACAAAAACATACACTTCAACTTCTATGAAAAGATGAGCAATAGACTAGGAGATGTAAAAGGCTTACTTTGTAGATTTGCAATATACAGTAACAACTCATTAACTCAAACTTTTTGAGACCAGTCAAGCCATTTTGAGTTATCTGAAGTTTGACTGATCAGGAATTGCTTCTACCCATGAAAGAAGACTTTCTCCTATTAAGAGATGTGAGAATTCAATAACACCTCTCTAACCAACACTAAAGTGTTGGTTAGAGAGGTGTTAGTTACACTGGAAGTTATGGACGTCCATCAATGAGAAATTATTTTATATAGCAATTTTCCAGTTTTCATTTGACTGACCCTTGTAATTCTAGACTTTTTCTACTCTATTTCTTTTCCTAAAGGGTCTGTTTCAGATAAGAGCTAAATAAGATTTAGAAGCTTTGATCCCTGTTGCTCAGGGATATATTTTGACTAGATGCACCATTCTCAAGCATGAACAATTCTTAATAGTGTTTCAGCAATTGGGACACAAAAACTAGGATTATTAAAAAGCAGGGATTAGCTAATAATAACAAGCCCACATTTGTGTTGCCAATTCGCTGATACTTGATGTTGTAGGCCAGGATTATTCCATTAGGGTTTGATGGAGTTGTCCATTCTACCCTCACGATTGACCCATAAGTCTGATTGGAAGTCACATGAATCCCAATGGAATTGGAACTCACATCATCTGCTTTCTCTGTTGGTTAAGAGCACAAAAATCATGATCACAGACACCATGATTATTTATCAAGCAAATATGGAATTTATGAAGTGACTTGCCCTTTGGCTTTGTCTTGCCAACAGCAAGGACAGAGAGGGAGCATAGCTGCATTTCAGGGTGCATCTTGTCACGCTCATGACATGCCGTTATGAGGACTTTGTATGCAGTGAAATGCTGCAGTTCCCTGAATTCATGCATCAGGTGGGAGCCAGACACATACACAGTTGTCCCTTTAAAAAGAAAATCCAGAAACATCAATCCTCTTACTTCTCTATAATTGTGCTCAAGAACAAGCACATTTCAAGGAGAGAGTATAATATCTAGCCACTGGACATGATACAGTGGTAACAGTAATATCCTGTCAACAAACTTACCACATTGAACATAAATAATGCAACAATGGATATTAGTGATGCAATAATGGGAAGACTGACCTTGGCATATCAACTAACATTTGCCATATTAGTGATGACAGTGGAACCAATATTTTTTTCTATTTTGATATCCAATATTTTGCTCCACCCTTGATTATTTACATGAGCAAGAACAGATTGTTTACAGGAGAGACCTTACCAACTGTGATGAGACAGTTGCCAGATCAACTTTCCCTATTTCCCCAACAAAGTCCAAAAATGATCAGGTTTCATTATTGTTGGACCAATCTACTGCACAACAAATGTACTGGCTCTTAATGATGGGTTGGAAAGAAAGTCTTGCAACACTTTCTAAAACTATATTTAAAATTTTTAAAGGAATGATGGGCGGGGCTTCAAATTTGTATATGCTGGAATCTTCTTGAAGCTTCTGCCCTCGGGGTATATAAGGCGGCTTCTGCCATTAGTTGGCAGCCATGGCTCTGATCGAACAAGCAACTCTTCGCTCCATTGTCTACTACAAGTTCCTCCAAGGACACTCTGCGAGAGCTGCCGCGGACAACATCTGTGCTGCATTCAAGGGCAATGTCGTCCACTATTCCACAGTGTCTCGATGGTTCAAACGCTTGGAATCTGGCGACACGACCTTCGGAGAACGACCACGCTCAGGACGTCCAGCTACAGTTAATGACGAAGCCCTGCGGAACACCCTCGACGCGAAGCCGAACGCCACCACTCGCGAATCAGCAACTACACTTGGAGTCACCCAAATGGCCATCGGCAACCATCTGAACGACCTTGGCTATCGGAAGGTTTACTCGACATGGGTCCCTCATTGGCTCGGCGACTCTGACAAAGCAAGCCGTGTCGGTGTCTGTGAATCACTGCTCCTTCGTCCGCACAGAAAGGACTTTCTGAAGGAAATCGTTACTGGAGATGAGAGCTGGGTCCTCGACGTTGACCATACTCGCAAGAATCAGTGGCTTCCACGAGGAGAATTGCCACCACACGAACCGAAACCAGGGTTCCACGAGAAGAAGGTTCTTCTCTGCTGTTGGTGGGATTCAGAAGGAATGTTATACTGTGAGCTCCTGCCAACCGGTACCACCGTGACTGCCGTCATCTACGCTGCTCGACTTCGGAAGTTGGCTGGTGTCATTCAAAAAGAGCATCCCAAACGTAACAAAGTTCTCCTTCTGCATGACAATGCTCATCCACATGTTGCGAAGATGACTCACCAGACAATTTCAGAACTGGGCTGGGAAGTTTTACCCCATCCAGCGTATTCTCCAGACTTGGCCCCTTCCGACTATCACTCGTTCCGGGCCCTCAAGAATTGCCTGCGGGACAAGGCCTTCAACAATCGAGCACAGCTCGAAAATGATGTCGACCGTTTCTTCGCTTCACAATCGCCAGATTTCTGGGCAAAGGGCATCGAGCAGTTACCTGTGCGTTGGGAACATGTCATAGACAACAATGATCATTACATTGTAGACTGAAATTACATTTCAATAAAGTTATAAAATTTTGAAAAATTTGTGCAGTGTTGCAAGACTTTCTTTCCAACCCAATATAAACAAGCAAGTTTGACCACAAACCCTTGGTAAGTAATTTTTATTTTGATTTTCAGGTCGACATTTGTTCCAGATATAGGGAAGTAATTTCATGCTGCAGAAAGCTTTCTACAGTTTGGTGACTGTTTGACTGAAATTGGTTTGAGTAGATCTTGTTACATATATGAATGAACAATTCTTCTCTGTTCTAATGACTCACTGGATGTTATTTTGTATGAACAGCTGTGTATTTCTTGTGCTTTTCCCTTGCAAGCTCTGTAAGGGAGATCGTAGTGGTGTGTGGGTCTATGGAGGAGACAATGTAATCATCCCCTGTGAAGGAGGGAGCCTCTCAGATCTGAGAATTGAGTGGATGGACCCCTGTGATGCCCTTGTTGTGTCCGTAGCCAGTTCCTTGTCTTATGCATCAGGACATGGAGCCATCCTTGAAACCGATGGTCACCTTGTCTCCAACATCCATTATCAAGCTTCTATTGATTTTCTCGGTGAGGTGAAATAATTTTCCTCAAAATAATTACTCAATGTCCTTTCTGGGGAAGTCTACAGGCGATGTACTTGTTTCCTTAGAGATGGTATTTCAAGGAAAGGATGAGGTGCCTGTGATTGCTGGGCTGGCATATCTATCACCTGGCCTAGTTGAGCAGCTTTTATCCTCTCAAGTCATCAATGCATCCACTTACTTGGGAATTGACAGTGGGGAGCATGCTTTGCAGGCAAGATAACAGTATTCCATTCAGGCTTAATTATACAGATTTTCCCACTCTTGTACAGTTTATGGTAGACATGCATGTTGGGTATTTATCCTGCTTTCATACCTGGCCATCTGAAGCTCATGTATGTACATTTACCATTGCATAGTTTTAAGATAAAATTATGGACTTAGCATGTATTGCCTGTATGTTCAAATGTGCAAAATTGCTCAGGCTCCTCCTTGTATCTCTATAGCATCATGATGGGCTTGTTAAGTCTTGAGGTCTATGTAGGATTTTTTTGTATACTTATGAGCTTCTGGGGAAAAATGGGTTAATCCCAGACAAGAGATACATCATGGCTTATACTTTAAATCAAACGCTAATTTTAAACTCGGCTTGTGAAAGAGAAACCAATTTGCAAGTTGTAGGCAACTAGGCCTAATGCATGGTAGGCCAATTTCAATTCAAAGCACTTTCAACCAAAGCACTTTAAAGTGGTTGGCAGATCTGTCTAATAATCCAGTTCTGATGTGCAATTTGGAATTCCTACATCCACTTCATTTTATTTCTCCTATAGGTCTCACTTTTCTTTGACATCTTGGGTGTGATGGCAGTTGATGTGACCCCTGCTGACTTTTGCTCTGGAGGTTTTGCTCAGAGATATGATTCTGTTCAGAAATCCCTGGTGTTGCCCAGCGAGAAATTCAGGTTAGAGTCAGCTCCATGAAAGAGAAAGTCAAGTGTGATGTTCATTTGTTGTCATATAATCAGAATTCTGCTATTTTAGGAAAGCATTATGGGAGGAGCTGCACAAATACAAGCTGAGAAATGCCACAATGATTGGGAGGCATTTCTACATAAGTGATAGGCTACCCTTTCAGGAATTTCTTCCTATGCTTCGTCATGGCCCTTCAGTGCATTCCTTCTTCCAGGATTCATCCATACCTGATGTAACACACCTGTTACTCTATGACAAGAGGCATTGTATATGTCTGTGAAAATGTTTTTTATTTTCTTTAGAAAGTTGTTTGTGTGAATTCACTCATTGACTGCCCGGTGATGGTTGATGGAGATGCAGAGCAGAAGCCAGTGATCCAGCACTGTCATCTCTCTGGCTCCCAGCCAATCAGCTTGGGTCCTGACACTTTTTTGTACAATGTGCACCTTAACACAGATGTGAGAATTGTTTTAATATTATTCATTTTCAAGTGATGCCTTGTCTACATATTTATTAATAATGATATTATAGAAGTAATTATATTGTAATGGTAGTATGTGCAAAGAAACTTTGTGAATGGGGTATTCCAATAAATGTGAGGCATGAAAATTCTTTAGAGGCATTTGGGAAGATTGAAACGGGTTGCAAAAATTGCATAGAGAACAAATCAGGTATATTTTTTACCAGATCAATCTCATGATTTCAGCCATAAATTGAGCATGAAGAGGGTTATGTCTCAAGTCTCTGCTGTCTTCTTAAGAAAATAGAAATTACTTTGCATAGATGATCCTCATATTTCCAATTAATCTGACAAAAATATGAAGCTGTTGATGTTCCTTTGCTGTGATGAGTGTAGTTTTGAAGCTAAGTGAAAAAAGCCATCTGAAAATTTGAGGAAGTGATCAGGTTAATAAATCTAGAATATTGAAAATTGTATGAGCTAGATGGATCAGTATTGTGGGTCAGATTGGCTCACTGGTTGTCAATTGAATACTGCAGGTCTATACTTTGAAACATATATTTTTGCTAATTGTCATACATGCTTAAAGCCAATAAGGAATTATCCTTTTTTATGGATGTATTTTCACAAGAACCTTTTTTTGGGACATCAGGCATGTGGGGAAGTGAAAGTGCCAAGTGGATGGATGTTGCTGAGTTATCCCTGCATTCCTTCTTCTGGGAACAGCATGATTCTCATCACATTTCCAATGAACGAGTCCCTTCAGCTCACTTCCACTCATGGTAAATCTTTTCAGCCATTCTCACAAATTTACTATATTTTCTGTCCTTTTTCTATTTGCTTACCTTTGCTTTGGTTTCATTAGAGACAGGTTTGATGTGGACCTGGGAGGATGATAAACAGAAAGTTTTGGAGTTTCTGAATCATCTATGCAAAGGAAACTCCTCCAAGACCAGAGAAATGATCCTGAAGATGCAGAACTGCATTTCGCAGCTGAAGTTCATTGTGGATTCTGATGCACTTCGTGGATGTCAGCAGAATCTAGCAGTGAAGATCCTCAAGGTGTCTCTCTCACGATTGCACCAACCGAGAGACATCCCTTTGCCCATCTACCTACGAGCTGCTGCTTCTGGTCTGTTTCATCAGGAGGGTCTGATTGCACTTGATCTAGCAATTACTCTAAAATTCCTGGATGATTGACTTTGGATTTTAAAAATTATTGGTAGGTGGTTTATCAACTTTTAATCAGGTTTTAATTTAATACTCATTTTGCTTCCTTCTTTTTTTATTTCTTAGTGATTCATACTTTCTCAAGTTTCTGCTTTTCACTTCTCATTCACAAAGAGATCATTTTCCTTCAATTACTTTTTGGGGCATGTGATACAAGGGAAAATATACAGCTAAGGGTGAATCCAGCTTTATATACTGTAGGTTCAGAATCTGATTTTTAAACTAAAAATTGGCTGTTTTTGATTGTCTTGCATGACTTTTATATCAACCTAATTGATCAACTTGTCAAGGCCTGACTTAAAAGTTTACATTCCTATTTAATTTCCAATCTTTCTTGCCTTCAACTCTTAATGTTTTAGCTTTGGTGGCCCGCTCTTGAAGCTTCAGTTTGTCATGATCATGGTTTGGATGTGTTTTTGCTGTACAGAGGGCTGGGGGGAGTCCCTGTTGGATGTCCTTGACAATGTGACAAAGAAGAGTGAGAGTGAGAGTAAAGCAGCTGCCTTCCTTGCAGCCACAGCCGAACTCATTGGTTGCATTGCAGGGAATTTTGGTGGTTTGCGCAGTGGCCCTGCCTCCAATCCTGCTTGGAAACATGCCCTTCTCTCCCTTGAAGTAAGTCCTGTATAATGCCCCTGTAAGTCCTGAAGTAAGGCATGTATATCAAAATTTTTGTCATAAGTAGATTTTCCCAGAAAATGGAATTATCAGAATTTGAAAAACATGAGTGTGGTAACAATATCTTACCTAAGAGAAGGCTTCATTACCCAAATATGTCAGTAAGTGGTTTTGTCACAGCGGTCTTGAGCGTTGAGACATTAGATGAAAAAGTATTGAAATAGTGGTTTCACCGTGAAACTGCTTTGCGGTAAAGGGTTAATCCATCTCTGCTTTTCAACAAATAATGTAAGTCTTTCCATTGTCATGAACTGAAATTTTGGGAAGTGGGGAAAGATTTATGACCTTAGATAAGTCAAATCTCCAGGGCTCCATTGTTAGACCACCATCATGCCATCAAGGAAAGCTCTTCTGAAGGATTTTGCTTATAAGTTCTTGAAAGGAATGAGGTGTGAATGATGATGGAGGATGTTTGTGTAGGAGAGAGGAGTGGGAGCAGGAGTGGATGCCCTCACAACTGTGAGAAAGGAGTGGTGGAGGAGCCCCAGTTGGTTGCATCCACACCAGTTGGTTCGCATCGCTCGCCACTATGACATGGCTGCCCAGATCCTCATTCGCAAAACCACAGCGAGTGCACGAAATTTTGTACGTCTTTTGCTCTATCTCTCCTTCCAGTGGCATGACTCAAACTGGCACTCCAGGAGCTGATAGCAGCATTGTGCACCATACTCTTTGCAAATCGTTCTTCATGAGCCTTTTCAATTTATTCAGCTGATCCTAGACATGTCCATAAGAAGAAGAAAACTGCTACTTGAGATTAGTCACTAAAGTAAACATTGTTTCGTTTTTACATCATGGCACTGTTCCATTTTGTATTCATTGGGATTCCGAATTTAAATCCAAATGCTAATCTTTTGAATGTCATTAAACAATTGTATAATGGAGGAACTCCTCGTTTTTGTACACCTAGTAGATGAGGGTGAAAGAAGGAGGAGAGATGGTCCCGTATGACATCCCCGTCACAGCTGCTTGTCCTGCAAGAGCTGACCTCCAGGGTGGATGGACTGACACCCCACCCATCTGCTATGAACTGGGGGGTTCAGTCATCATTCTGAGTATCACTGTTGATGGGAAGAAACCCATTGGATGCAGGGGGGAACGGAAGAGTGAGCCAGTGATTCGGGTGAGGACCGGGGATTCGAATGAGGCTGTCATGGTTGCTTCATGGGCAGACATGGAGGACTATGCAAATCCAGTTGCCAGTGGGGCTCTTGTGAAGGCAGGACTCGTCTCCTCACGAATCCTTGACCCCAAGCATGGAGACAGCCTCAAGGATCAGCTCCTCTCTGTGAGCTCTTCCCTCCCTAAATTTTTTATTCACAGTGGCTATAGAATTATGATTCCTTCAATTGTGCTTGGCTCTCAATTTAAATTATAATTAATTCATTTCAATTTTAATTTCATATCATGTTAATATCATATCATGTGTTCATTTGGTAAAAGTGTTTTTAAAAAGTGATCATTTTAGTTTAAGTTCAATTATCCTATTCTGTTCAAGTGGGCTGAAATAACCATAATTTGCAGAAAATGTAAATACATGAGTATTGCTCACTGACACTTTTACAAATTTCAACTTTTTAATGCAAATTTGCTACAATCATGCTTTATTCATGCAAAAAGATTTATCTTAGTATGAGCCTGTAATCAAAGGAAATAGCAGCAGTTTCAGCATATCTGGTCTGCCCAGTGGCATAGCCAGGATTTTGCCAATGGGGGGCTTATTTGTCTCCACCTGGGGGTGTGGGGGGATGGCAAATGCATTTAGACCAGAGTTGGGGGGTTTCAACCAAACTTGGGGGGCTGAAGCTGCCCTTGCTATGCCACTAGCTCTGGCTCACTCTCAGCTTGGCACCATTGCCTATAATGCTTTTCTTTGCTAGTTCATCTGATTCTTCTCATGGACATTATGAGATGTGTACAACTGCAGCTCATTATAACTATTCTACAAAGGGAAGAATATAATAGTGCTTTTCTTGCAACTAAGGTTCACCTTTTTGGTTATCCCAAACTTCATGTGAACATTTTTTTCAGGAATTGCAGAAACTATCCATGCTTAAAACATGCCACTCTGTTTTAGTGAATGAGGTAGGTTCTCAATAGCATAATTTTGGTGAAAATCTTATAAATGAATCACAAACTGATGCTTTTGAAGCAGTACTGTGTTTGCTGCAAAAAATGTTATTATTTTGGTAATAGCCTATTTACCTATAAAAGTGGCTAATTAATTTTTACTCCATCATCTAGAACATCATCATTCACCAAAGATGTAAGTGAAATCTTTTTTCATCTCCTTTTTGAAGAGGTATGGTGGAGGGTTCGAGGTGGAATTGCATTCAACATTACCACATGGATCTGGGTTGGGAACAAGTAGCATCCTTGCAGCTGCCATGCTGGCTGTCCTCTGGACCCTCATTGGGACCCAGTTCTCCAAGCGAGACCTGATTCATGCTGTGAGTCATGATTGCTCACAATCTTCCTTGAGTCGGGTACATGAAATACTCTAAGGACTAATGTGAATGTCGTTCGCTTGGACCTATTGCATATTGCAGCCAATATTCATAGAAACATACAAATTCCATTATGTATAAAGTAATGTGATGTAATGTAGACTACAAAAAGAATTGATTTAGCTCCTCCAAAGAAAACTTGGTGATTGCCAATCCTGCTTTTACATGTCCTTCAAATGCTATAAATAGATGAGAATAATGGGCTTCAGATGACCCAAAATAAAAATCTATTTGGGGGCTTAAACCTCATTCCATTGGCTCCTATGGTCATTATTCATCATCCATTGGTCAGGAATGCTGTCTTCTTAAAGCAAAATACATTGGTACTCTTTTTTGCAACTTAAAAACACAGAATTGGCAGTGATGTTTTGAAGTTACCAGTACCACCTATTTTAAAGCTTGGTTACGTTTCTTTTGCTTTGAGATGAAAGTCATCAACTGGTTTTAGGGCAACCTATGTTTGAGACACTTGATGCAGTCTGAGACAGCCTGTGTTGGTGGAAACAGGTGCTGGAGCTGGAGCAGGTGTCGACAACCGGTGGGGGATGGCAGGATACAGTCGGTGGTGTCATGGGAGGACTGAGTCATGCCCAGTCTTCTCGGGGAACGCAGGTCGAAGTCCTTCGCCGGTTTGTGTCCCCTCCTTCCGGGTTCATGGATGTCTTCTTTCGCCATCTTGTCCTCCTATACACGGGCAAGGTCCGGCTGGCCAAGAATCTCCTACAGGTCCACCAGCTGTTCCTCATTCCTGTATCTCATCACCAAAGAAGGGGTTTTGTCATCTCTAATTCCTTGCATTTTCAGACAGTGATAAGGCAATGGTATGCTGGAGAGGAAGAGGTGGTCAACTGCCTGAAAGTGATGCTCACAGACACTTCCATTCGGGCCAGGAAGGCCTTTGAACGAGGTAATGGCTGGTGTTTCTCCAATATCAAAGTATTTTGTGCAATTTTAATCACATCATTTCCATCAGTGTTATTGTGTTGAAGAGTCAAAAATGTATTTGCAACTTCCATCATGATTGCAGAATATTGGTTAGGCTATGACATGAGGCTAAAATGAAATGAACCATCGAAATTATATCAATTGTAGAAGTTCATTTCAACTGAACTGAATTACCTATGTGAAAAATATCATGCCCTCAAACTCACTAATTTTTTCATGCAACCTGCCTTTAAAAAATGTGTCATCTCATGACCCAGGTGACTTGGAGGAAGTGGGTGCATGCATAGACAGATACTGGGAGCAGAAGAAGGTGATTGCTCGAGGCTGTGAACCCGAACTCGTGCGTCAGGTCATGGATGCATTCCGACCTCATGTCTATGGTCAGGTGGGTCTTCAGTGAAAAAACTTTGCTAACCCTCAATCCCATTCTTCACACTTGTTCACACATTGTTAACACTCAATTCTATAAATTTTCTAATTATCCTATGTATTATTGTTAAGTCCAAGAAAGTATAAGCATCAAAACTAAATCATGTCTTTTCAATCTGTAATGCCTTTGCTGAATATAGAAGGAAGCCATTATGATCAATGGAACCCAGGAGCATTTTCTTAGAAGTGAATTAGTGCCTGATCTTTCTTGGTTTCCTGTTGTCCCCATCTAATAATATTCCTGCAAAATATTTGCGTGGATATGAAATTCTTCGTTTGTGCTACAGCAATACTCAATTTCTTCCCTCAATGATGGCCTATAGCATTCATTTCTCTTGGAAATGACTTGCTCTTTAAGGTGTTGAAGTTGTTAGTCCTTCACCCCTTCCAAAGGGGAAATTGTTGAATTTTACTTACTTGCACCTCCTAACGATCCACCTTTCACAGACCTTGGTTGGAGCCGGGGGAGGCGGTTACATGATCGCCGTCACCAAGATGCCTGATGCGAGAGCCACGCTGGAAGACCTCGTCCAGAAGATCCCCGTACGGGTCGTCTTGTTCAAACCCTCATCTCTGTAGAGTTTTCTGGTTTTAAACTACGGCATTTGATTTTCCCCAGGGAGGAGCAAAGGTGAGATTCTGCACGGCAGGCTCAGACGAGACCGGACTGGAACTGAAGGTGGGGTCCACCTCCTTGGAACTGGCCGAGTTGTGAGTGGTGATGCCCTTTCGCCGCTTGTCAGTGTTGATGACAGAGCACACGTCATATTGCTATATTCTCACCTGATCTGTACAACGATTCAACATTCTGATTATCATTGCATGATATCCTACCGATAGTGAATAAACCTCATATTCTCTGTTCGTCTGCAGTCTCATTAAACATCTGGATGTCCATTTGGCTTCTGTTAATGGGATTCTCTGACTTTTCCAAAATTATTTGCTCAAGATTTTAGTTCGGAAGGTTCAGGTATCTACAACCCCCAACTCACTCCCCCCAACCCCCAACATGTACCACACGCAGGACTACTTTTGGATTCCGAAGTCGAAAGCAGAGCGATAGGGAGCCAGAAAGGAGTTGTGCATGTTGTGATGATAATAAAAACATCCGAACCGGAAATTCCGCCTGCGTCTGCGATCGCTCGCAGTCGCAGGCGTAAGACTCATCGCGTTCGGTCTCCAAACCGCGCAACGCGAAACCGACTAGCCCAAAGGCCTACGTCGGTCGACTCTCATGAAGTGATGACATCATGGAGTCGTGTGAACTCTCCCCAGACATCGCATCTGGGGCTGGTTGACAGCTCCCGTGGCAGTGGACCGTTTAAAATCACCGTTATTGGAAGCCTCATTCAGGTCAAGTATCCCCGCTGCGACCACGAGGCCAAGCGGAATCTCGAGCATATTTTTGTTGGATGACATTGCAAGGGGAGAGGGTTAGCGGGTACTAAAGATTACATCAGCGATGAAATCCATCTGTAGAAGGATGGGCACGGTAAATACGAAGGGGGGAAAGGTTAAACCAACGGCCTCCCCCATCATATTATTCATCTCCGGTGGGGCCTTCTGATCAGATTTTCGTTTGCGATCACCGCAATATATTTCCAGCAGATTGCCCTCCAATTGCAGGAGCCTGCGTCATCGATAATTTATTTTTATTAGGCTCCTGCTATATTCATGGGATTGCCATTGCCACTTATTGTCTTCTCTCGATCGTGCGCGCTCGTGGGACTTGGTCCTCGTTCTCCTGGTATTGCATCATATTGTGCATCGTATTTTTGAGCATATAGGTCACGTGGATTTTGAAATGACGTCAGGAGGCGGTGGGCAATGTGATTGGTCGGATTAGATCAGAGATTAACGCCGCAGAGGCCAATCAGATCGCTCTTATGTCACGACACTCTCATTAATAGCGATCAAATATCGAGGGATTGGGGATTCCATTCTATTCGGCTTTTCGTTTGAGAAAAGGCGTTATGTTATCACTACCTGGATGAATTCCGAATCCGGAGTGACAATTGTTCTTGACTCGATAGTAGTGAAGAGTTTAGAAGGTTCGCAGCCCTGTCGAAATTGTCCGCGGCCTGGCCCTCCGCGTTTCACTCCTTTCTAAACTGACAAAAGCGCTAGACAACAGTCAGTGATGGTGGTATAGGCGTTCCATTCAAACAGGGGAGGGCTCTCGATGCTTGTGCTTGCGATTATATTAGGCTTATCTCTTCATTGGCATATGGGTTCCTCTGGGACGTTGTCTAATCGCTCAACGTCATAGGTACACCGAATTAGTTCAGATTATTCCCGTAATAGGCCTATGTTATTTATGATACGATGGGGAATCAGGCACAAGGGGTCCTATGAATGGTTCCTATCTCTAGAACATCAGCCTACCCTTCCCTCTTTGTCTAACGCGTGTAATCTCTTAGCAGGAATGTCTCTTTGACACTCATATTTACTCTGGGGGTACCCTAATTAGGTTCAGCCTTCACCACGAGAGCTCATTAATGTCCCAAACCTAGAGATGGGGGAGTTGCGTGCTTGAGGCAGGGCCGTATCTAGGATTTCATTTCGGGGGGAGGATGAGGTCTGGCGTACGCCCTGTGACTATTTTTTTTTGTGCTCATCATTGTAAGTCGTTTTGACATATTTGGATTTTACTGTAAGTTGCAGTGTTTAATAAGTCATAAGCTATTAAAGATAGAAAAGATCAAATGCTGCACCGTTTACACTGACGAATAGTGGTATGGCAAAAATTTAAGGAAGAAATTTTGGGGGGGTTTGAACCCTATGAACCCCCCTCCCCTAAATATGGCCTTGGCTTGAGGTGTCTCATTTTCCAAGTGCGCAAGGCCTTGCATTAGGAAATAAATGCAAGACTTGGATAGGTCTGAAGGAATTGGGTAGGATAGGCTAAATATTGAAAGAAAAAGGTTCAGACTTGGTTTAAACGTAGGAGTATGCCTTAAGCTTTCACGTTATTCATTTTGGACAATTAGGCATACTTGGCCATCCTAGTCATTAATTGGGTTATGGTCACCAAACTGAAGGACACCTTTATAGCTCTTTTTTTCTCCTGTGATTGATGTGATTGACCCATTGGCCTTGGGTGTGGTAGCTGCCTGTCACACCAGAGTTATCTGTACTTACTTAATATAACACCATCCTCCTTTCACACTCCAGTTTGGGTCAAACCTCTATGAGACCCTAAGAAAATATTTTTTTGTGTTAACAGAACTACATGGGTGGTCTATTTGAAAAGTACATTAAAACTATTAACTTGTAACATTTTATGTTTTTTCCATATGTTATATGGTATGTTCAAAATGTTGATATTAGATTGGAAAAGTAAAAACTTTGGAGGCCCAACAAGCAGAGTAAAGTGTGTTGAAAAACAGCAAGCAGTCAAAATGACTGCCTCGGTTGTTCTAGTGCAAAAATCTTTTCCCTGTTTATAGCCATTTGCATCAAACTTGGGCTTAAGCTATGATTAGACCTATACAGATTAGCCTAAGAACTTTCTAGGAGTTTTCCACAAATCCATCCCAATCTCAAGCCAGAGGACCCTATGCCTAAGTTTATCTATTCACATAATCCCTAGACCTGGGCCTCGATGTTATAGGAAATGACAGCTTCATTTTTGCATTGGCTTATGAAAGCTGTTGGCCTAACTTGAGAAACCTATGAGTAGTATTTAACACAACCTCATTTCATTTTGCAGTTGACTTGGGAGACTATGCAATTGACTTTAGTATAATGACTTTAATAACAAATTGACTAGTGACTTAGGGTGACAGGAAGAGTCTGACGTCACCCCAGCCTGTGGTTTTGATGGGCCAATTTGACAATGCACTCCAAGGTGCTGCTGTTTATTGATGGCCCGAGCTTGAGCCGGCAGGAACGTGACCTCAGGACAGTCATTGTCAGCCGATGTATGAAAGTGTTGATGGGTCTGGGCATTCGGCCCTGTTTGAAGGAAGATCAACAAAAGCTGAAATTCAGCATCAACTGGGGCTATGAGATTGGAAACTTAGTAGCTGTAAACAGAGCTCATAGACTGAGGAAATGGCTCAGTCTGGATGTAGAATCATTTGAGATGCTGGAAAGTGCAATTGAGGAGATTCCAAATGAGAATCTTTATGAAGAAAATTTCCAACTATGGCTCACAGGACTGCAGAATTTTGTGAAGAATTCTCTCATAGACTATCAGTGGGAAACCCCTGATCTGACCTCTCCCATCAAGCTGCGAAAGGTGGCAACACCCGAGTCATCTCATCGGAACTTTGTTCTCATTTTCACCACCTTTCCTGACAATGAAACCTCCCCTCCATCAGAAAAAAACAAGGGATTCATCCCTTCAACCCTGATGAAGAAATTAAGAGAACTGAATATGCAGTTCTTTGTGATTGACCTGAATCCAAACTCTGGTGCTACCAATGCAAGGACCAAGGCAAGGAGATTTCTCAGCATGCTGAGATGTGGTGTTGTGAATCTCAAGGATTTTGACATGGGTGTTTTAATGCCTAGCAGTGACTTAAGAAAGAGGAACAGTTTTGCTCTGGCAGCAAAGATAAAATTAAAAGTCTCTGAAGGAGACTTGAATGTCGGCCTCCATTGTCTTTCATGTAAAGGGTGAGTTGTTCTAAACCTTCCTAATTTTTTGGAGTCGTTATGCTTTGTTTATTGTGATTTTCCCAATTATTCATTTTACTTCATGTAAGCTGAGCTATTGTGCTATTTCATATAATTTATATTCTCTTTCATTTTTTGAGCCTTCACTTTAAATTTGTTTTATTTTGTGCTGAGTTCCTTTTTTTCGCATCCAGGAGCTGCAGTTCACCCAAAGTTCCTGGTACCCTTGTGATGTTGGGTAGTTTAGGGAAGAGGGGGATCTTGTGGGGTCATTCTCCTCCTAGTCATCAATTTTTATGGAAGTGGTGCTGTGATACTGATGCACCTCCAGACCTTGGGAAAGGTGTTTACTTGGTATGATAAATATATTTTGTGTTTTTTTGGTGATAAATTTTCACCATTTGATGGAGTAATTACCAAAAGCACAGAGTACTGAATGCAATGCCTGCTACTATTTTATGATAGTGGTGAGCATTAAATGGCTTTTTGTCTGTCTACTCTTAATTGTATCAGCTATCAGTCATACTTCCTTGGCAGTTGTAAACTGATTTTTATGTTGGTACATAGCTGGTTTGCATTAAAAATTGTGTGAATATTGGACAAATTTATGTGACTTGATTTTTGTTCTTTTCCAGGTCTCTGATGAAAGCGGGAAGGATCTATATACATGGCAACAACTGCCATGCAGCAAGGGTGCCATCCTGGCTCTTCTCGATGAATGCCTACTTTCAAGTCCCATGAAAGCTCTTCTGTTTCGGAAAGATGAGAGACAGGAGACTTTAGAGGACTTCAGAAGGGAATGCCTCCAGAGTCTTCAAAGGTCACATTTGCAGGAATCAAGCCAGTTTCATTCACTTCTCCTTGAACCGTGGGCTGCTCCGCAAGCCATCTTCCCAGATCATCTTTTGACAGAAGCCCGCAGGTGCCTAGGCAGCAAGTGAGAGAATGACTGCCAGTTTCTTTGGTCTGTTGCATAGTATCAGGTGGCATTAGTCTTATGTTTTGGGCACAGCATACTGATGAATTTTAATAATGAGAAAATTGCTACAGATGCTATTGAATTGAACCTCCTGGTATTAATTTAAATCTGGACTTTCCAACTCGTAGGAAATCAGAGGTGATCGACCCGCTTACAGAAGACAGTGTGACCATGAAGCCAGTGGCCTTGGTGTCAAAACAGCAAGAGAGACTGGAGAGGAAGGTGCTGAAAGCCATTCCAGGACGGAGACACTTGAGATCTGGCAGAAACCTGGAGATGGTGAAGAGGGGCATGGTTGCTGGATGCCTCAAGAAAATCCAAGCCCCAGACCCTATTCTGACCAAGTTCGACAGTATTACCCAACCTCAAAAAAGGTATGGTCTCCTAACTCCTTGCTAATGCTGCCATCAAGATTCATTTTCATGGAGATGTCTGTCTTTTAGACAGATGTACTTCCACTGCTCCATTCAGATAAGATTGTCCCTATTTGTCACCTTGAATTTGGATATGGATAAACTCACCTTTTGGAGAAGTACATGAATATTGACCTAATGCAGCTTGGAAAATGAAGGATTCTGAATTTGGTCCTATTTTTATCATTGTGAATGATAAATCACATTCATCAAAATGGTAATGGAGAGGAAAATGGAATGCTAATATGAACATTTAAAATTTCATTTCAGTTGCTTTCTTTAGTTGTTGAGCTCATTCTTGCCAATGCCATTTGACAGTTCAATTTTTGATTAGCAGAGAATCCTGTGAGTTTCGGGAGTTTCGGCAGGATGACTTGACATCTCTTGTTGAAGACTTGCTCAAGTATAAAGCTGAAATAATAGAAAAAGGCGACTTTGATGAACGGATCCAATGCCATCGGGTCATTGTGGAGGAGATACAGAATTTCCTTGCCAGATGCAGCCCCCAACAGGTACTAATGCTTATTTTCCATCAAAATTTCATTGAACAGTTTTCATATGTGTCCCTGTATTACCAACAGACATATGAGTCTGATGGTAATACAGACAGTGCATTGCTAGTCATTTCTCTCCTTGATCATGCCTGCATGAATTATACTATCCCATACTATCTCACTACTAAAGCTATTATATTTTGCTTTGCAGAATGTGAGGGATGTGGTTGCATCACATTTCTTCCTGGGACCAAAGGAAGTGAGAGACTTCTTGACGTTGGAGCAGCAGGTGAAGGAGTGTCAATTTCAGGTCCTCATCCAGATGGAAGCTGGATCTGGAGACCCTGACTTGGTTGAAGAAGTCTTCAATGCTGTCTGTCCCTTTCTACGTCTTCTCTCCCTCTCTGAGTCTCCTCAGGGATTTACATCCTTTCTGAAACTCCTGGTTGCCTCGTGAGTTTCTATTCTCTCCATGATTTTTTTTTTTCTTCTGTGTGCTTTCACTTCTTGAGCAATTATTTTTTCCAGATTTCTTCCGAAAGTTCTTGATGAGTTAGTTGAATGTTGCACAATGAAAAGATATAAAACAGAATCAGACAACATTCATTTATGCATTTATTCATGCATGACCTTATGTTCTGGATGTAGTTATTGTGAGAAATGGAAGGATGTGCTGAAGGAGATCTGGGAGGAGCTGAACCTCCCACTCGAGCAGTTATGTGACAATCCTGATGATTCCCCAACTGCATCACCATCAGCTTCTCATCTCCATAGCCTCCCTGTCTCTCCTCGATCAGTGCGTTCGAATCCCAGCCTCCTATCTGCGCTTCCTCAGCCACACTCGGCTGAGAATTCCATCATGCCTGACAAGTATGTCAACATCTTCCAATAGCTCAAAAGTGAATGGGAAGTACCTTTGGGAATTGTGATAGTTATTTAACCAAAAAAAAACCTCTTAAAATGCAGAATAAGCATGAGGCTTTTTCCTTTGCTTGGCAGAGGTTCTGTGTTTTCACCTATTCCGCAGCAAGGGTACATGGTATTGTGTGGAAAGGCTCAGTGAACATGTATTCTATGTTGTTGAATAGGGAAGGAAGACGAAAGAGGACACTCATCCGTCATCCAAGCTTGAATCTGGGTAACAAGAAAATGCTTGCCCTCCCACTACCTCTCCCCAGTTCTCACACATCTACTTTGCCCAAAAAGAATACCCAAGGTTTGTTGAACTGGTCAGCTAATTATCTATATTTAGGCAGAACTGGCATTTTATGCAGGAAACCTTTCAGCATAGTGAATTTCAAAGTCGCCTGCATTTATTCTCCAAGAAAGCATGTGGCTATGAGAGAGAAGACCACCAACTTCCTGCAGCAGAGAAACTAAGCTTGTAATTGGTACAAAATCCTGTTCATATTCCCCTGCTCAGAAGTGTACTCCACAAGCTAGGCTTTCTTGAGGGCCAGATATTTCTCACCATTAACTGTAAACAATAACAATTACAATGCATTACTACTTGTGGCCATGTTTCCAATGCTCAGCTGTATATCTCTAGCTTATGTTTTTAAATTTTTTTTTTTTTTTTTTACCAGAAATTTGACCAAGTTTCAAACAGGCTTTTCCATTAATGTAGGCTGATTGAAGGGAAGCTTCTTTGACATTTATCCAGGTTCAGAGAAGGGAGTGAAACGTGTTTGCCGGAAGCTGTTTTCTGGAGGAAAATCTGCAGACCCAAGCAAAGCCAAGAACAAGCCCAACTCACAATCACCTGGAAGTAAGACTCTAAAATTTCAATTGCCTTCAGCCTGCTTGGAAATGAATAGCTGGTGCTTGATTTTTTCCTCAAAAGATGCTCTGTTTCACTTTGCTAATGCAAACAATTATATACCTCATGAGCAACAAATTAAGCAAATCATTTGCTCAATTTAATGTTTCTCAATGTTGTATGACTATCAAACTACAAGCATAACTGTCCATTGGTTTCATCATCTGTATGCATCCCTGTTTCCCCTAACCCAGCTCTTGTTACCCCTGAAATCTGTTTAGGTAGTCAGGTACTGACTGGCACCACATTTTCTCCTGCAGATGACAGGAAAGACACTTGATTTGCATTCATCAAATCCCTTTTTTGGCAACTTTAATGAATGCATTGGCAATTCCCTCATCATAAGATATAGTACATCCTGTTCATATTTACAATGTGTATGTTTTGTTTGCCCCTCCTTTTGTCTATGTGTACCATAATTGCTGTTAACCATGTCAAAATTATGCTGTGGCTAGTGTCGCCCTTGAGCTAAGTTGTATGAATGCCTCATTCAGAAGGTTGTCTACCTAGACCCCACAGTGGCACTTGTGAAGTGCTTGAGATTTGACTTAATTAGACACTATGAAACTCCATAATTGGTTTTAACATTTTGCTGGATTGGCATCACCCAGGTTTCCTAGTGCCTGAGACACCTTTGAGGAAGCAAAGGGGCAAAGGACAGAGGCAAACCAAGCGGAAGACTGATGGCATCACTACAATTGAAGAATCCCCTCAAATCGTCACCAGATGCCGTGAGTCCTTGAATGCAAATTTCATTCTTCATCTGCCCATGTCCTCATTTCATTGAGTTTCTCTACCTCAACTACTCCCATCCCTGCAGGCTATTCAGACTTCCCCAGATCTGACAAAATTAGATAAATGTTAAAAGTTTCAAGACAGCCAGTCATGCATGCTTGACAAACTAGCAGGTGAGCAGCCACTGAATTGTCTGGTAACCTACATTCATGATACCAAATGTATTGAAAAGTATACCCTTGCAAATTGCTAGAGGATTGCCCTAAAAGAATAGACCACATTGGCATTTAGGTGCAGTCCTGGATCTGTGTTGGCCAGAATCCTTACCCCTCAACCTTGACCCTCTTCCCTCATCCTAACCTGTGTGAGCATCCCTCTTGCCATATGAAATAAGGAAAACTTTTTTTAATCACGACTTCCTCATAAGTCAGTCAGCTGTTTTTTCCTAAATTACCAGGATCCAGGAACGAGAAGCTCAGCCCGACGACGATCTCGCAAACTGTGCAAGCTGCATCTCGCTCCAGTTTCTATTCCCAAGGCTCGAAATCAAGGAACTTTGCCCGTGGAGAGCAGTCTCTGAAGACACAATGGATTCAGGGACACACTGAACCTCCTGCAAGATGGAAGGCAGCCCCATCCGGTCCCGTGACAAGGAGATCGCTCTTCACTCGCTCTTCCTCATGGGTCGATCCGGACTGCTCGACTGAGTCGTTGGAGGCCAATGATTGTGACCTAGGGACACCTTTAAAAGGTGATGTTCATGAAGTTTTAGAATCCCAGCTTGTCAAAGACAGTGATAAAGAGGTTCCAACACACACTGGGTTGTTGATGGAAGCTTCTTGTACACCATTCAAGCAGGATATTTTTGATAAGTTTGCCCCAATAAGAACACCTACCAGAGATAGCATTTCAGAGAGCCCCCTTAAAACCGTGACCAAAGATGTGACTTTGAAAACTCCATCAAAGACCTTAACCAAAGCTGTTGTTTCAAGAACTCGATCGCAAATGACCATCAAAGATGGTGTTTCAGAAACCAACCAGAAGACCCCAGCTAAAACAGGTGTCTCAGAAACTCCATCAAAGACCCCGGTCAGAAGGGGTGTGTCACAAACACCATCAAAGACCCCCACCTATGGAGGCACACTGAGAACTCCATCAAGGACCCCAGCGAAAGGCTGCACTCCTAGGAAACCAGCAGTTAAAGGTGATATTTTACAAACTCCCTCAAAGACCCCAGCCAAAACAGGTGTCACAGCAACTCCGTTGAAGACCCCAGTCAGAGGGTATATCTCACAAACCCCATCAAAGACCCCAACCTACAGAGGCACTCTGAGGACTCCAAGGAGGACCCCAGCAAAAGAGAGCTCATCAACAACTCCTGGGAAACCAGCAGTCCAAGGTGATGCTTTGAAAAACCCTTCAAAGACCCCAGCCAAAACAGGTGTCTCAAAAACTTCATCAAAGACCCCTGTCAAGAGGGATATCTCACAAACCCCATCAAAGAAAACAGCCAAAGGAGACACTCTGCGAACTCCAATTAAGACCCCAGTGAAAGACACTTTGATAATCTTTCAGAAAATGACAACTCGAAGTGATGGTTTAAAATGCAATGATTTCGGAAACCCCTCAAAAACTCCTTCCACAAGAGGCACTTTGAAAACTCCTTCAAAATCCCCAGCCCTAGGTGACGTTTCTGAATCCCCTTCAAAGACCCCAACTGAAAGTGACTCATCAAGAACTCTGTTACTCCCCCCAGCCAGAGGTGGCACAACTAGAGCGCTGTCGAAACTAAGAAAGATTGACATATCAAAAAGGACGTCGAGAACCCCAGACAAATGTGCCACCTTTGGAACTTGTGTAAAACTTCTGACTGAAATTGAGATTGATATCTATGGAGAACATGCTATGTTCAGAGATGACGAAGTAGAACTTGAAGAGACAGAGGACGAGGTCTTCAAGGTTCCTACTGACGTGTCCCATAATCCCTTGATGTCCCCATTACGCTCGGCGACATTATGCGAGCAGAAATGGACCCCCTCTAAACATGAAATGACCCCTTCAAAGAGGAAGGCAACTTCTGGGGACGAAACGAAGACGCCATTAAAGACGAGCGGGACACTCGGTGAGACCCCGACTTCGAGCATCAGCCATCCCAGCGCCTCCCGTGTACCTCCTCCATCACTGTCACCCAGTGTGCCAGGGAAGGAAGGGAGGGCACTTCCTCCATTGGACTTGCCCCTTCCTCATGCAACCCCAGTGAGAAAACTCGAGTACATAGAAAGTGAAGGCGAGAGTGCCGTGGAAAGTACGTCGTCGTGTGGGCTCCGGGTCGACCTCTTCTGCACTCCCCCGTCGCCCGTGTTCACACCCGCCCGAAAGAAGCGACGGACCCCCGGTAGCAACCCGAGTTCTCACCAGCAGAAGGATTGCCCAGATGTGAGGCTTCAGTGCGTGATGCGATCGCTAGACTTCACGGAAACCCTGCAGGTGTCGGTGGACTCTCGCAGCGCTCCTCTTCCGTTCGGCGAGATTTCTTCCGATCGGGGAAACGAGATGTTCAGCCCCCTCGAAGACGAAGACGACAGCTTCCTCAAGTCCCAGGTCATGTCCGTCGTGTCCCGGCTCCAGTCCGAGTCCCCGGACCAGAAGCCCAGGAAACAAAAAACCCTCCACTCGTACCTCTCTCCGGTGGAAAAAAAGCCACCGGAAGACGAAACCCCCCATCCCGGAACCGACGCGACCCCCCCTCCAGTGATCCCCGTGACCTGTTCCGGCAGTCAGTGCAAGTCTACCCCCGATCGCATCGACTGCTGGCCCAACCGAAAACGTCGATACCAGGGCCCCGACGACGGAACTTCGGGGAAGCGAATATCCATCGATCGTCGTCGTATTTTTGGAGCACTCCAGGGTGACGAACCCGTAGCCTGATAGAAGCAATAGGATTCTATGGGAAGGACACGAACGTGCTTTACACTCAAATCAATTTTTTTTTTAGATCGCGTAAGACAATATTTGCAAGGATATATCGAGGGATTCCTGTGCTGCTTTCTCTCTTCTCATCCTACCTTTGACTTTTTTTTAAAATCTCTTGACGATTCGCTTTTCACGTCTCCATTTTCGCTGACTCGTGGCCGCTTTTGTGCGTCCACGCCACACATACTTGTTTCATTTCCTTTCCTCTTGCAGCGGGTTTGGCGATTTCAACACATTTTTTTATTATTTGAAAGACGAACTTTTATCCCCCCTGGTTTGGTCATTGGGAACATCTCTCTGCCTCTTCCGAAAATGAACTTTTTTTATTCCCTCATCAGTTTATTTCATTTCCTTCATTTAATCCTACCAAATCGTTGAACGTTATTTCTTGCCGAGAATTTCATCAACGGAGTAAGTCTCGGAAGTCATCTCGTTCGACACGTTCCAGCGTTCGCGAAGTAGTCCGTCCACTTTGCGCGAGGAACCGATCGGTCTCCTGCGGCTTTAGAGCGTCGAATCCCGATCCGAATTTTCGTCTCGGGAATTCGAGGTTCCGCGGCTGCAAGACTGCGGAGCTCCCGCGAGACTGCGGCCGTCCGTCTCTATCGCTAGACAGCCGAATCCCTCGGTACTTAATATTCTCCACCCGTTCCGCCGAGGCACCCCGAATCCGTCGGGACTTATCGAGAGGACCGGACGGAAAGGACGGCATCGAAAAAAAAAAATGGATGAGCCACGCCCGAGATTTCCATTAACTTTCAGTGGACGTGACTCGTACGCACTGCGGCGTGGGGAAAGTCGTTCGATGTCCCACTCGTCAACCTTTGACCTCGTTTCGACGTATGAGGGACGGCGGGACGAAGACCCGGAACGCGATTCGGTAAAAGTACTCGTTTCATTTTATTTCCGCCTGCCACTGGAAAATTAATTGAGGAAATTAATTTTTTTTATTCCCTTAAATTCTGCTTATTTTATCCCACTGATTCTATCCTTATTTTTTGCAGAGAATTCCATCGTTTCCGCAGCGAAACGGTAGAGCAGGGGTGGCGAACCTTTTTGCGCCGCGGGCCGTTGTTGGGGCACCCCTGCGGCAAACGCAGAAACGCTTCACCCGCAGTTCAGGATCATCGGCGGTAAACGCTCGTAGAAACCGAAAGTTT